TCATTGAGCCATCTTCAGTGGGTAAAAATACAAAAAAATTTTTTATTACTTTACATTAGCGCTTTGCTCTTTCCGCTCGCACGAAGGTCGCTTCTCGCTCGTTGTGAGATCGTTCGTTGGAAACTCGCAAACACGTGATCCCATCCTCAGATGACAATTAAACGGATCGTATCGGAGGAAAAACATATTACATCTTGAGTCAATGTATAAAAACCGCGATATCTGGCGGAACGTTAGTCAGTTGAGTGACAAGCACAAAATTTAGTTATTAACGTATAACGCTACGCTGTCGGAACGCGCATTACGCGAGTGATCAAGTTGTAAGTTAGCAAGTAAAATAAAGTCATTGTGTTAAACGGTGTAACTGTGTGCATCACTTCAACAACTGTCACTACTCCTTCCCCGTTACACCTTCACCTCATCCACGATGTAACATTGGTGTCAGAAGTGAGATTGCAGGAAGCGATCCCAGGGAAGAGACTCACGAAGCCGACAAGCAGAAAATCTGTAAGTCTGAAACAGATATTACTAAAACTTGTCTACTGGCACGACCATAGACAATTTATAATCAGCGCGACATACATTGCCGCTGAGCCGCGGTACACGTCGATTGAAAGCAAGCCGTAGCATAACAAAAGCCGGCATTGCAAAAAGCGGAGAAAAACGGACGGAGATAAGACGCGCAAGCAAAGAATTGCACGAACTCCCGCGTCGCATACATATTGGAGGAGTATCCGGAACATCTATCGCCAAATTCCACGAGTGAACAATGCCGCAGCAGCTTTAGAGGTGCCATGGACCTGACCACCGACAACACTGTCGCCGCATCGCAGAGTAGAAGGTCACCGCCGCTGCTGTAACCCAAGCCGAGCCGAGCGTCAATAAGGACCAGCCGACCAGCCGGAACAGCGAAGCAAGTCACCATGCGAGCGAGCGCCGTATTGTAAGTCCGTTACGTAATAAGTTAACATCTACGTATGTCAAGCGGTTGACATTACCGTTACACGTCGCCAGAGCGTACGTGGCCTTTTCGGAATCGCGTAAAATTTATAAATACCGTACCCGAATTAAACAAAACCGCGGAAGCGTTACCAGACATACGAGATAGCGTATGTAGGATTTTAAATTTTCCTATCGAGGGCGAAACAAACTCACCCGCACACGTAACTCGCAAACGCGAATTTCCAGTGGTCACGCATGACTTTAGCTTATTCGGAATAAACGCCACAGGCGAATTTGACACAGAGTCGGACCAACGGACGGGACAAAGGCGTAGACTTCAATTTTCGTACGATATACAAGAAGATAACACAACCGGAACAGACATGATATCACGTACTCCTACCAAATCTCCGCAGACGGGAGCGTCCTCCGCGGAAACGGAAGACGGAACGCCGTATTTATTTGAATTAAATGGGCAAACAGAAAATGCTTGGACAACTCGCCGCGTCACCTTCAGTGACGAGATAGCCAGCATAAGCACTGGCGACGGCATGACAAATTTAAACGGGGCAGCCGGCGCGCAAAATAACGCACGGGCAACTCGCGGATTCAATTCGGTAAATGAAACGGATAATCTAGTAGAGCTGATGAGAGAAATGTGCGAAATGAGAGCGCAAATGAATGAGCTCATGATGAACCAACGTGAAGGACACTGCGATTGACGCCGTGAAACATACGACCATAGCTTCGCATTAGATACATCAAAGCCTCTAGACGACACCCGTAATTATTTGGTGCGAGATCACAGTAGTTTCGCGCTGAATGTTTTGAGATCTCAAGACGATATTCGTAACCAACCGGGACGGACTTATAATTTCATGAGCTTGGTCGAGGTGCAAAAGCTAGGAAATAGACGGCAGCTCGCGGGATCGCGTTCACAAATTTTTGGAAGCCGCTTCCTACGCAATGAAAAACTTTCATCCGATAGACGAAAATTCATTTTTAAAAGCTCTGATCTGTACGAAACTGAAAAGAAAAGCATGCAAAGATTTCCGCACGCGCAGTATTCGTAACTTCGCACAATTCAAGGGCGAAATGGAAACAAAGTATTTATGCCAGCGAAGCGTTATCAATGTGCAATGAGAATTTAACTTGATCAAGCAAAAGCCGGGAGAAAGCGCGAAGGATTTCGGGCGCAGAGTAAAAGACCTCGCCATAGACCTTTTCGAGAGCATGGGAGAAGGGAAAACCACACTCTTGAGCAGCAACATCATATTTATGAGCACACGCAGACGTTAGCATTACAGAACTTCCAAATTGGATTAAGGGAAGATATTCAGGTGCTGGTACGCTCACAGCGCTTCCGTACTTTGGCGAAAGCAATAGACGGGGCTAGCGCAGAAGCAATGGCCGATGCCCGAGGTCTCAATAGGGCCTATGAAAATAAAAAATTCACGTTTCGCAGTAACAAACTGCAGTGCACAAAATGCAGAAGGCAAGGACATTCCGGAGATGAATGCCGTACTAAGAAGCAATTTTTCTTGCCGAAACCGGATAAAAATCCAGCCGGAGTAAATGCCGTAGAGAAATATTGCACACATTGCAAAAAACCTGAACATTCACGGCAGGAATGTTGGTCGTTGGCGCAAAAACGCACTGTGGGAACGCGTACGCGACCTGAAAAAATTGAAACCCGCAAGAAGCCGCAGGTACATACAGCCACCAAGGCAAGCAAGGAATCCGAAGATGCCGGGGACTCGTTTTCCAGCAGTGAAGACGAGGGAGTCACAAAGGAAAAAACAACGCGAGCTGCGCGTGAATATCGGATTACGCAGATAAGCGGGAAACCGAGAATAAGCATTGGACTCTACCTAGTAACTTTGCCGATGCAAGAAGCAAAGAAAGGGAAAGTAAGTCTCTTTGTTGATACAGGAGCAACCCTTACACTAATGAAATTAAAATATGTAAAGGACGATACCCCGTTACGAGAGGATCGTATGACTCTAACGGGAGTAACCGGTCACAAAATTCAGACTATTGGTAAGATCCGAGCGACGATACCAATTGAAGACCGAAAGATTCGCCATATCATCTTTATAGTAGGAGACGATTTTTCTATCGATTATGAAGGTATCTTGGGCATTAATTTCTTGCAGAAACAAAACGCAAAATGCGATCTTGGGAAGAAACAGCTAAGCATAGGCGAGACAACATTGCTGATGCGTCCATTCGCAAAAGTACAATTAAAGCCGCGTAATGAAACAATAACGCGGGCATATACAGAGGCAAACCGAATCGGAGTAATAAATTCCGAGGAATTGGCCCCAGGAATATTCATAGGAAATTGCCTGGTAGAACCAAAGGAGAATAAATGCCCTGTAAGCATAATAAACACAACTGAAAAGGCCGTAAAAATAAATATGCCTCTGGTTAGAGACGTTGCCGGCGGGCCGAACGAGAAATGTTCTTACGTTACGCGAAGCAGATAACGCGAACGTCGAGTTCCCGGGGTCGCGCGCAGAGCGCCTATGCAAACACTTCAACGAACAGGAAAGGAAAACATTGATAACAATATGCGATTATAACGACGTATTCCATTTGGACAATGATACGTTAAGTTGTACTACCGTGGTACATCACGAGATAGCTACACGCGGAGACAGCGCGCCAGTCAATGTCCGACCTTACCGCTTACCGGGCCCGAAAAACATTGGGCGGAAGTGAATTGGCAGATAGAAAAAATGTTGACGGAAGGGATAATACGCCCTAGCACCAGCTCCTGGAACGCACCAATTCTGGTGGTTCCTAAAAAAACTGACGCATCTGACATACCAAAATCACGGATAGTTGTGGATTTCCGTAAACTGAATGACCTGACTATCGGAGATTCGTTTCCGCTACCCAACATCACTGATATACTGGATCAGCTGGGAAGAGCGAAATATTTCTCGACGCTTGACCTTGCCTCCGGTTATCACCAAATAGCTGTCTCTTATA